CATATTCATTGTATGAGTGTATGCGAGCAGAGGTGCGTGTGCTAAATCTAGGCCGCACGTCGTGGCACTATGACGGAGGTAGACGTGCGACCGCAGCGCGCCCACCACAGTCTCGGTGGTGCGCGCGTGTTAGCGAGAAAGTTGCGGGGAGAGCCATGCCCGACTTTTCGAAGGCGAGCCCCACGCCACGGATGCCAAGAAGAGAGAAGAATCGGATGCCCGCCGTGCTTTCGCGGGAGTCGTCTCTCGCGCCGCGTCCCGTCGGCACTTTCCTAGAGTAGCCCCGTGGTGCGTGGGCAAAATTCTTTCTCTTCGTGTCGGCCGAATCGACGACTGCACCGCCATGCTCGCCTCCCGCCCGCTGTGCCGCGCCGGCTGCCTCGGGCGCCGCGCCGCCCGGCGGCACTGCTCGTCGCTGGCCGTCACGCACCTCGACACGTGGCTCCGCGACAACGCGGCCTCCTTTGCGCCGCCCGTGATGAACAAGCTGCTCCACCGCGACCAGCTCTCCGTCATGTTTGTGGGCGGGCCGAACCGGCGCGAGGACTTCCACCTCGAGGAGGGGAGCGAGTTCTTCTTCCAGCTGCGAGGCGACATGGAGCTGCCCACGCTGCAGGCCGGCCGGCGCGAGCTGGTGCGGATCCGCGAGGGCGAGGTGTACCTGCTGCCCTCGCGCATCCCGCACTCGCCGCAGCGGCCGGACGCGGGCTCCATCGGCCTCGTCGTCGAGCGGCGGCGCAGCGAGCGCGAGCTCGACGGCCTCCGCTTCTACACCGACTTTGAGGCGTGCGACGCCGTGCTCTGGGAGCAGTACTTTCACTGCTCCGACCTGGGCAAGGACCTCGCGCCGGTGCTCGCCGCCTTCCGCGAGTCGGAGGAGGCGGCCACGCGGCGGCCCTCCGCCACCTCCGTCCTCGCCTCGCCGCCCCTCAAGCAGGACGTGGCGACGGTCGTCCCTCCGCCCTTCCGGCGCCTCGCGGCATCTGGAATGCGGTGCGGCCTGCTGCGCCGGCGTGAGAGCGCGCGCCGTGTGGCTGTAGGCTGGACGAGTGGCTGGAAGAGCGGTCCGCGCTGCTCGACGCGGGCGCGACCCTGCCCCTCTTCGGCGAGAGCCACCCCGACAAGGAGTTCGGCATCTTTGTCGCCGGAGGGCCGGTGGAGCACAACGCCGCGTGGAGGCACGAGACGTGGCTGCTGCAGCTGCGCGGCGAGGCGAGGGTGAGCCTGCGCGGCGGCGAGGAGGCGACCCTCTCCGAGGGGTCCTGCCTCGTCGTGCCCGCAAAGACCGAGTACACGGTCCGGCGAGAAGCGGGCTCGCGCGGGCTGGTGGTGACAAACGACCCGAACGGGAACAAGGTCAACGCGAGGGGGGTGCGGCTCTTCGGGGGCGGCAGCGAGGGCCGGCAGCCCGTGGTGGGGGGCGGAGACCAGGCCGGACGAGACATCCTGCGCGCGATGCACGAGGACGCGGCGAGGAAGGGAAGGTAAACCTTATTCAGACTCGGAGCGGGCGCGTGTTGTGTGTGTCCGCGCATTCTGAATTCTCTTCTCCTCGATCCAAACAAAAAATAAATCTGAGCTTTGGCCAACAATCCTCCCTCCTGCGGGCGGGCCCCTCAAACAAAATGTACGCGGACTGCGAGCCGAGAGGTGCGTGGTCGCGTGTACAGTCCCCCCTTCGCCCCAAGTACGTGGACGACACGGTCTACACGGCGCTAAGTGCGCCCGACTGGCAACCCCCTTCCGGCCAGCCCGCTTCCTTCAGAGTGTGCGGCACTCCTGTGCCGTCGGCAACGTGCCAGGCGGCCTGCGATGGCGTGGGCGGCTACGGCCAAGTCACACACAGCGACGGCATCATGTACGACTGCTACGAGGCGCCCGCCGCCGCCACCGACGGGCCCTTCGCCTCGTCGGTCGAGGGCGGCTGGGGCCTGCTCTGGGTCTTTCCGGCCACGCTGGCGGAGCTGGCTACAGACGCAGCAACTCGACGCTGCTGGGGTCGCTGGGCATCCGAACGAACCTCAGCGAGCCCGTCCGGCCGTCCGGACGGGCTGTCGCTTCATTGAGTACGGCCCGAAACAGACCGTGCTCAACCGGAGTGGGTCTTATCTGGCGGCGACAGCAAAGATCCGGACATCGGCCGCTTCTCGTATGCAGAAGGAGAGGGCGTTGCGCTCCTCGGGAGGGTCACGGTGCCCGTCGAGATCACGCCGCTCACAGCGAATGGACGATCGTACGCCGGCGACCAATATGCGGTTGAGCTGTACCGCGCTAGGAAATTGGGCGCTCCCTCGCTGACGCCGTCGACAGCCTCGCCCTGGCCTCCGCCGCCGCCGTCGTCGCCTTCGCCGCCGCTGCACTCCGCCTCGCCGTCGCCGCCGCCGCCCACGCCGTCGCCATCTGCCCCTCCGCCGCCCTCCACCTCGCCATCGCCGCCGCCGCCCACGCCGCCGCCGCCGCCGCCATCGCCTTCGCCGCCGCTGCACTCCGCCTCGCTGTCGCCGCCGCCGCCCACGCCGTCGCCATCTGCCCCTCCGCCGCCCTCCACCTCGCCGTCGCCGCCGCCGTCATCGCCTTCGCCGCCGCTGCCCTCCGCCTCGCCGTCGCCGCCGCCGCCCACGCCGTCGCCGCCGCCGCCGCCGCCACTCTTACCTCCTGATGCTCCTGCTAACGATCCCCAGATGCCTCCGCCCCCGCCGATGTCGCCGCCCTCGCCGCCGCCGCCGTCAGCGTCGCCCTCGCCGCCGCCGCCTCTCGACGTCTCCGCCCCGCCCTCCCCGCCCTCCCCGCCGCCCTCCCCG